TTTGGCTCTGAAATCTGTATAATTAGCCACCAAGCTTCGCCACTTCTCCAGCCTGGCTGTGTTCTGGGTCTTTTCTGGTTGGTGACAAGTCTCCAAAACTACCAGAGTTCCCTAGACAGGGGTTAGTGCCCCCACGGTCTTGCAGTGCTGCCTGGGGATCCCTCATAGTCTCTGTGACGAGGACTTGGGGCGTGGTGGGCTGCTCCCACATTTGTCTCCTCAAGACTCGAATCCTTTGATGTTTTGCAATCTTCTCATATTCTTTGATATATTTTTTTTTTCTTTTCTTTTCTGGGTTTGTCTGAACTAACCCATTGGTCTAACTAGTGTTCTCCCTTTGGAGGAGCTAAAAAAAAAAAAAAAAAAAACCAGAAAAACACCCCGAGCTGAAAATATGCTGATTCTGCTGCCCTCTGGCGTTCAGCGGGTACACGGCCGCACACACAGCTCTGAATCCCGTATCTGTGGAGCAGAACCTTGCTCCTTCGGTGAGAGGAGAGAGAGAAAGGGGAGGAGCAATGCATTTTGTGCTCAGTATTCCAAGCAAGATGGGCATACTGAATGAACTAGAAGCACATTTTTCACATGCCCTCTGGCCAGCCTCAGCCCTTCACAGCATTCTGGTAGGGCTCGAAAATACTAAATCCAAAAAGGATTACAGCAACAAGTGAATCCCATACCCCACGTAGCATAGAAGGTGAGGCTCAAGATTTGAAAGCCTGTTAGTATCGGACCTTAACTGTGAACGGGCTTCTGACTCCAGTCTCTCTTCTCTCCTCTTCCTTTTCTTCTTCCTCCTTCTCCTCCTCTTCTTCCTCCCATTCCCCCCTCCCCCTCCTTCTCTTCTTCCTCTTCCCGCTTTTTCTTCCTTTTTATCACCATCATTAAATTCTTCATCACCCTCATGGTTAATACAGAAAAGCACTTACTGAGAAACACGCACTGTGCTAAGATAGATCACATTTGCTATAGCATTTAATTCATGCAAAAATAAAGTAATATAGGAAGATGATTCTAATCTACATTGTAGATAAAACACTAAGGCTCTAAGAGATAAAATACTTGCTCAATTACACAACAAAATAAGCAGTGGACTTTCTAGTCTTGCCTGAAGGCTTTCTACTCTGCTTGCTAAGCTAAGGGCAGAGTTAACAAAAATTCCCTGGAGCTTGCCAGTGAGCATAACTGTGTTTACTATGTTCCAGTACTGTTCTCAGTGAACACACCTATTAGCTCGTTTAACCTCATATTGCTCCAATCAAGTAGTACTGCATTGTGCTATTATTATTCCCATTTTTACAGTTAGGGAGACTGAAGCACAAAGAGGTTTCATAATTTGTTCTGGGTGCCACAGATAATAAGTACAGAGACAGCATTCCAGCCAATTGGTGGCCAGCTCTGTTGCACTGGGTCTTGAAGATTGCCAGACTGACTCTCTCTGAGACAAACAGGGAGACAGTTCTGGATGAAAGACGGACCCTGGCTATCCCAGATCCCCTTGAACTATGGAAAGGCAGTGTCAGGGTGCCAAGACCCTCCCTCTGGGATCTGGAGTCACAGGATGATACATGAAATAATATCTCCCTCACTTTCCATCTCCTTACACCACTTTCTTTTTCAAGAATGTCCTGGCAGGGGCACCTGGGTGGCTCAGTCAGTTAACCATCTGCCTTTGGCTCAGGTCATGATCTCAGGGTCCTGGGATGGAGTTTCACATCAGGAACCTTGCTCAGCAGAGCGCCTGCTTCTCCCTCTGCCTGCTGCTTCCACTGCTTGTACTCTCTTTCTCTTTCTCTCTGACAAATACGTTTTTAAAAAATCTTTAAAAAAAGAATGTCCTGGCACTTTATCTATTTAAATGTATTTATTTTTACTTTCTGGTCACCCACCCCCACTACAATGTAAGCACCACGGCAGTGAAGACTCCTTCAATGTCTAGTGCCCTAGTAGTAGGTGCTGAACACTTATTTATGGAATCTTTTTTGAAAAGACGAAGAGTGCCCCAGGTCAGAGGTGGGGGCAGCAAGACAAGGCTGGCTTGCCCTGTCTCTGGGGGCAACTGTGACTGCTGGGATTGTGGATGATTCTCGAGCAAGAGAGAAAAAGGAAAGAGTGGGGAAGGGGTGCCCTGGAAGAGAGGTATGGGATGGCGACATTCTGGGGAAGCCGGAATGGTCTCAGAGGGGATCCTGGGCTCTGGCTGACTACAGTAGATGTCCTTTCTCAAGTTCTTCCAAACCCGGGTAAGGAATAGCCCCCATTTTCAGTGCTGACTACAGAGATCCATTGCACAAGGTAAAGCAGTGGACTCAAGAAGAAAGAAGAGCCTAGAGAAACATTCTGGAGACAAAGTGGGAAGCCAGGTGCCATGCTAGGTGAATAGTCTGGTGCTGAGTCATCTCAGACTCCAAAGTCTAACAGTTGGGACCCAGGAGGTCTATGAAGAGACTTATCCTCCTTGTTCCTCCACATCCTCATCTATGAAATGGGGATAGTAATAACACCCAGCTCCTGGGGGTGCTATGTGGATTGGGTGAGGGGATAAATATAATATGGGAGGACGGTGCCTGTCAGCAAGCCAGTGCTAGATAAGTCCTAGCTGGATACAGCTGCAAGGTCTGTTCCTGTGACTCTGACCACAGAGAGCCAACCTGGAGAAGTGGGCTGGGCTTTAGGGGCATGGAACCTCTAGGTGGGAGATGGCAAGAACACTCAGGCAGTCAGGCTCCAGAGCCCAGCTAACAATGTACTCTAACTCCCCAGAGTGGCAGGATGGATTCATGGTCACAGTGGAAACCACCGAGTCATCCAGGCCTGAGTTTGAATCCTGACTCATCTGTTTCCTAGCAGAGGAAGCCCTGTATCTGGGTTTGCCACCTAACCTCTCTGTACTTCAGCTTCCACGTTTGTGATCTGGGGAGACCAATAGTACCTACCTCGCAGGTTAAATATTTAGAACTGCACTCAGTGTTACTTTTTATCATTCACATATGGGACAGACAGCTTTTCACCTTACAGCTATGGAAACAAGGCTCTAAATGGCCCTCTGTTAATGCTGTTAGAGTAAGCATCTCATTTTTGTGGAACGTGGCTGATTTCTTGCCTGCCTGTTCTATGTTGAGATCACGGATGGCGCTTCCCCAGTTTGGCCACTAGATGGCAAGCGTGTGCTTTCCCGCCCCACTTGGTGGGGCAAGAATCCCAAACCACCTGCCTGAGATGGGAAGCTTCCTTCTATGGGCAAAATATTGGGTTGTACCCTTTGCCTACATTCTCACTTACTCCTCACAGTAATACTCAGATTAAAACAGATATTCCACCAATATGGTAAGCACGGTGGCTGACACGTGGTAAGGCCTCAAAAAACATCTGCTAATCTTCCTGTTATTGTGGCTGTTATCCCATTTTTATAGTTAGGATTGAGGCCCAGAGAGCAAAAGTAGGTAGATGCAGCCCAGAGTTCAAGTCGGACCTTACTGACTCCAAGTTCAGCCTCTTTTCCTCTAAACCTCATTTCAGGGGAAGCACTGGACGCCTTGGCCTCCCTTCACAGCTCCCCCAGCCTCCCATGTCTCCTTAGGCTCCATGAGTTTTCCAGGAGCTCTCACTTTCTTACTTTCTGTGTGGCTGTCTGCTAGTTCTTTAGATTTTCAGGGCTGCAGTTTTTCATCCGTGCAATAGAGGTCATAATGCCTTCCTTATTTTGGAGATACTTCAGAAATCAGAAACAGCAACTAGACCAGAGTTGGTGCTCCAGGGATGGTAGTTACTTTTGTGAATGCCGTACAAGTTAGCATAACCAGACTTCATTCGTTCCTTCCTTCCTCCATTGCTTCTTGCCCCCCACCCCCATGCCCTCCCTCCCCTCTGGGCACACACTCATGGTTTCTGCCTTCATGGACCTTATAGTCCAAAATGTCTTAGTCTCTGTTAATTCCTGGGACAATTCCACCCCGACATGTCTTCTTCCCTGTAGACCACACAGCTCAGGCCTCATCTCCTTCCCCACTACGTTACTCCAAAAGCAATCCTGCAGGTTCTTTAGGTGCTACAAGATATTGTCAAATCCTAAGCTGCCTGACTTCATTCTGTTTCATCCGTGACTTTCAAATTGGCTTGGGCATCAAAAGATTCTGCCAGGATGAAGCCTGGGAATATTTGGGAGGGCGATATGTGATAGAAAGATAGGGTCTCATGGGTTCATCCTTGTTTAAAAGAGAACAGCTCTGATTTTATCTGATGTATATTCTGGGATTACATGTAATACTCTGCTACTAAAGAAAATCTTCAAAACCACCCCACTATACTAGGTAAATTTGGAGATAATTCAGAGAAAATCTTCAGGAAAGAGAATATGTCTGGGAAGATATTTTAAAATTCTTTTCTGAGGTTCTAAGTGAAATAAACCAGACAGAGGAAGACAAATAATGCATGGTATCCCTTATATATGGAACCTTAAAAAAAAAAAAAAGCACCAATCTTACAGAAACAAACAGTAGGTAAATGATTGCCAGGGGCTGGGGGCTGGCAAAAAGGGGGGGGGCTGGTAAAAGGATGTATTTTAGCTAAAAGGTGAGTAAGCTCTGAGGATCTAGTGTAAGACATGGTGACCGTAGGCGATAACACTATATTATATAATTGAAATTTGCTAACAGATTAGAACTTAAATGTTTTTACTAACTGCCAAAGATAAATATGTGTGTGTTAATTAACTAGATGGGGAAATGCTTTCATACTGTATACCTGTATCAAATCACAATGATATGCTCTTTAAATATCTTATCATTTTATTTGTCAGATATACCTCAACAAAACTGAAAATTTTTTAAAAATTAGTTTCCAATGAAAATTTGAATAAGTTGGGGATTATAGGGGACCCTATGTGCCCCCCCCCCAATGGTTTGTCTAACTGGGGCTGATCCATGCTTCTGTCTTTGCTGAAACCTTTGGCCATGTCCTGCCGATCTTCCGCTCAGGATTTTGCCCTTTCTGTGTTTCAGTGCCCTGGTTCCCAAGAACCATCCAAGAGCTTGACAGATTTGCCAATCAGATTCTCAGCTATGGAGCAGAACTGGATGCAGACCATCCTGTGAGTCCCCCACATCGGTGCCCCTTCCCATGAGACCCTTTCAGTCCTCCCCTCCCTGACCCTACTCCACTCCCTGATCCCCAGCAATGTGTCTTCATTTGTTTGCTTGTAGGACAGACATTTGTAGGCTGTCGTCTTATACAGCATCACTGTCATAGTTATCGTGGTTGTTATTATTATTGGCGCAAATATAGGTTGGCCTCTGGAAACTATTGTTTATAGGTATATATGTGTATGTATGTATGTATGTATGTATGTATGCACAAATAGACAAACACACTCATATAAGTAAATAGTCTTTCTTTCTGTTTTCATACAACTGTAGAGGATTAAGTCAGGAGCTTGAGACACAGTAACCCACTAACAACTCTGCCAGGTATAGCAGGGCAGTGGTGACATTGGACTTGGATCCTAAAACCTGAGAAGAAGTTGAGGGAACAGTATTGTGCAAAGGTTCAGTGTCCTGAAAGTATCCGGAATATTTTGAAATGCAGAATATTTTGAAATGACTGGCTGCTGCATTAGGTGTGAGGGCCAAATTTTAAAAGGTCTGATTGGGGCGGGGGGTCCCTGGGTGGCGTGGTCAGTTAAGTATCTGGTCTTGGTTTTGGCTCAGGTCAGGGTATCAGGATCACAATCTCAGAGGCATGAGATCAAGCCCTGCGTCCAGCCCTGCACTGGGCTCCGATCTGAGCTCAGCAAGAAGTCTGCTAAATTTCCTCTCTGTCCCTCCCTGTGCTTGCTCTCTTTCTCTCAAATACATAGATAAATCTTTTAAAAAGTAATAAAAAAAATTAAAGTTCTGATGTACCAGACAAAGTACTCAAACCGTGTCCTGTGTGTGGTGGGCAGGGGAACAGGTCCCCCACTGGTTTCTGAAAAGACCAGGGTGGGGGAACTTAATCACTATTTTTTGTGGGGTGGAGGATTCCACGGAGAAGCAGGACTCAGGCCAGGGCCAGGTCTGCCTTCCTCCTTAGGTGAAAAGGGCCACTATCACATGGCCCATCACTTACTTTTTGTCCAGGCAAATGGCTTCTTAATCTTTAAAGGACTTGGAAGCTGTTTTAATTTACAGTGGTTTAGCGTAACTTAGTGAGAGTGTCTACATTTCATCTGGAGTCTGTTTTCTTACATCTCTGTGGGTCTTTACAGTTGAGTAAGTTGTGAACTTGATCTTCACAAAGGTTCTTTGCAGTAAGCAAAGCAGATGTTCCCATTTTACAGATAGATTCACTGAGGCCCAGTGAGAGTACACGACTTTTCTAAAGTCCTGTGTTAATCTTTGGGCCTTAAGACTCTTAACCCAGTGCTCACAGAGCCAGAAGACAAAGGTCCAGCCAGTGGCAGAAATTCCAGAGCTTTCTCAGAGACAAAGAGAGAGTTATTTCTGGAGTAGGCTGGTTTTTAAAATATGAACACATGTTGCTTATTCTCATTCAAATAGTAAATCCCTTATAGTGGACTTAAAAATACAGAGAAGCACGAGGAAGGAAATGAAGATCACCCATGATTCCAGTTATTTCCCTTTTCCTCTTGGAGGTATTCTGCATTTCTTTTTTTACAATGAGAAACTATTTTATTAACAGAAACAAAGTTGAATTCCCTCCTGACACCCGGATGTCAAAATAGGAAAAAAAAAATCACCTATTCTCACACTGTCCTGAAATAATAGGTGTTAATTTTGTTATGCTTCCTTCTTCCTCTCCCCATGTCTTTCCCCCTACCTCTCCTTCTATTATTTAGACACTAATATGAATGATTAAATTATGTATATCATAAAATTATTATATATAATTTTTTATGCATTGCCGTAGCTTCCTAAGCAGCCCCCAATGGCAAACATGTTTCTAGTCTCCCTATTACAGTAGTTACCTGGCCTGCGCATCTTGATAAGGATGTCCTATAGCTTCCTTGATTCTTACTTGTGAAACTACTTAGCTCAGGCTAGGAATCATATTTCAGTATCATATGTGTGTGTGTGTGTATGTGTGTGTATGTATATACATAAATATATTTATCTATATACACTTAAGTACCTTTCCCCTGAAAAACTAAAGGTAAGATTGGAGGATTTTCATCCCCATTCAAGGCTGTATCATTCCTGGGGATGGTACAGCCTTCTCCTGTGGGGCAGTAGACGTGCTCTGGGAGAGGCCCCAGATCCCCTTCCACAGGTCTTTGGCTGTGGGCCTTGGGAGCAAAGTGTCTGCGAAGAGATCATTCCTCTGGAAAAAATCATCTGGCCATGTTGACCCAGCCCATGGAATTGGCCCATCAGAGTGTTTCCTCCTCTTACCAGTCTCTAGGCCTCCTGGCCTGACCCAAGACCCTTCCCATTGGCCACACTTGCAGCTCCCTTGGGGCAGAGAGGAGAGAGGGAAGAGACCACAGACGTGGACATTTCCCTCCTCTTATTCTTGTGTCCCCTCACACAGATGAGCTGGTCGTCAGATTCCCTAGAATTCATTTCTTCTTGCAGACCCAGCCCACATTTTCGGTTCCCAGGCCTCTCGCTCTGATGAACTTTATCCTAAAAGAACAATTTTGTCAGGTACACAGTCTTCCCACGGAGGAGGCCAGGCTCTCTCTGTTCCCTCATTAGAGCCTGGGAACCCATGCGCCAAGGACAGAGTAAACCCTCCTGAGTGCTTCCCCACACTCCCTCAGGCCGCACAAGCCTTGGCTGCCAGTGTGAGGAGTGGCGGGTGTTCTTCCCCAAAGGACCCTCTGTTCCACTCTGTCCCTGGCGCAGTCCGCTCCCCTGCTCTTGGCAGTGTGCGCTGAAGTTTAACTCAATATCTCACTTCAGAGCCTCCAAAACAACCACTCAGAGAAATGCAGCCAAGGAAGGATTGTTCCTGCAACAGAGGGTAAAGGGCATCTCCGTCCCAGCCTTCACCAAGTGGGAGAGTGAAATAGGATAACTGCATTCCACTTGGCCTTCTTTCTTTTGTTGCCAGTGTCTTGCCCTCCCTCCTTCCCTTCTGCCTTCCTCCCTTCCCCAAACACTTACTAAGCAAGTGATACCCACAGCTCGCATTTCTTGAGCATAGACCATATGCCGGTCACTGTGCTAAATGCCTTACCAGCATTTTTTTAAATTTTTTAAAATTTATTTTCAGTGTAACAGCATTCATTGTTTTTGCACCACACCCAATGCTCCATGCAATCCATGACCTCTCCAATACCCACCACCTGGTTCCCCCAACCTCCCACCCCCCGCCCCTTCAAAACCCTCAGATTGTTTTTCAGAGTCCATAGTCTCTCATGGTTCACCTCCCCTTCCAATTTCCCTCAACTCCCTTCTCCTCTCTAACTCCCCTTGTCCTCCATGCTATTTGTTATGCTCCACAAATAAGTGAAACCATATGATAATTGACTCTCTCTGCTTGACTTATTTCACTCAGCATAATCTCTTCCAGTCCCGTCCATGTTGCTACAAAAGTTGGGTATTCATCCTTTCTGATGGAGGCCTAATACTCCATAGTGTATATGGACCACATCTTCCTTATCCATTTGTCCGATGAAGGGCATCTTGGTTCTTTCCACAGTTTGGCGACCGTGGCCATTGCTGCTATAAACATTGGGGTGCAGATGGCCCTTCTTTTCACTACATCTGTATTTTGGGGGTAAATACCCAGTAGTGCAATTGCACTAGCATTTTTAAAATTTAAGTGTGATAGCCATCCTGGGAGGGTTGTGTTTTTACATTCAGAGGAGAAATCTCAGACAGGAAGCCCTGTGAGCTGTGTCCCAGGCAAAGGAACAGGAGCTGAAATGATTCATAGGACATGACTCCTACCCTTCAGGGGCCTCTGGTTGTGGGAATACAGGGAGGATTGGTATCTATTCTTTCCCAAGGGGAGTGCCAGAGGTGACTGGGTTATAACTTTGCAGCTCATAGGTTACAACTTTATAAAGTGGTAAACTGTACAGTTGCTTGGCAGGCAGAATCCAAGTGGTCTGTTTGGTTTCCATTCTAAAACTGAGTCTCTTTTCTCTGACCATTCCCCAGCCTCGGTGGGACTGTCTGTGTGGTCTCCTTCATGGGGATACTTTTCCTTATCCTCTCACCTGCTCTATCCCTGCCGCAAAACCTCTATTCACTTCCTAAGGCCCAACTCATATGTTGGCCTCCTTGAAACCTTCTACCTACCTCTTCCCCAGGCCAAGTTTTTAATGCTGATACTATAGAACTGTGTGTACTTTGAGCACAGAGCATCAGAGAAAATGAGCATCAGAGAGCATACTTTGAGCACAGAGCATCAGAGAAAAATGAAGTCACTTCCTTATGAACTGTAACCTCATAGAAGGCATAAGATATAGATACACACACACACACACACACACACACACACACAAGTGAAAGGGTTATAGACATGCTTCCCAAACTGTAATCTACAAAAAAAAAACCTCACTATCAAAGTGAGAAACACTATATTCTTGAACCCCATTTTAAGCATATGCAAGCCCCATTATCTCATTAGGGGCTTTGGCAAGTCCTGCAAACATGAGACTCATTCAACCTAATGTCCATCAAACTTTTTTCCTTATGGAACTCCCTTTTCATGGAATACCTAGTAACATTATCTTAAATGGTAGTGTTCCATGGAACTCAGTTTGGGTAATATTGAGTTTAAGTCATAACACACAAAAGTACATGATTAAACACCAACTTTAATCATGGTTTAATGAATCAGAAGGCATGTGCTATCAGTTCTAAGGTCACTGTGGACTGGAATGGTTAGAGAGGACTTCTGGAAAGAGGGAAAATGTGAGTTGAGCCCTCTAACAACTAGGTAGGCTAACTGCTTATCAAACAATCCCCAAAGCTCCATGGCTTAGCCCACTGGATGGTTATTTCTAGCATAGGTCAATAAGAAAATTGCTCTACACAGTCTTTCAGAGACTAAGTCCTTTCCACTTAAGGTTAGCGCCTTCCTCCAAGTCCTCAAAGCCCTTTTCATTCTGCCAGCACATGGGAAAATGGAGTGAGAATCACTCCCGGGTCTTATGGGCCAGGTT